CCGCAGGTCCCCACTACCGGGAGTGCTACGACTGGGAGTGCTGCGGCTGGCCTTGCTTCTGTAGAACTCTAGTACATGCCATGTGAGCCTATGCTGCTGCTGGTTCTGCTGGGGGCAGCATAAGCTGCTGCTGGTGCGCTGGGGGCAGCCTATGCTGCTACTGGTTTTGCTGGGGGGTAGTTTAAGTTGCTGCTGGTGCGCTGACGGCACTGGAAGCTGCTGCTGGTGCTACTGGCGGTAGTCTAAGCTGCTGGTGGTGCTCCTGGCGGTAGTCTAGGCTGCTGGTGCTACTGGCAGCAGTGTAATCTGCTTGTGATACTAGCGGCGGGTGTGGCAGCTCGTGGGGAGGCGGGTGTCAAGTGGGGCGGCTGTTAAGGCAGCGGGCGACGGGTGGGGAAGGTAAGGCGGCGGTTCTGTGCGGTTCTGTACGGTTTTGTGCGGTTTTGCGCGATTCTGCACGGTTCTGTGCGGTTCTGTGCGGTTCTGCATGATTCTGCACGGTTCTGTGCAGTTCTGTGCAGTAGAGAGTACTGGGTGGGGCGGCTGATTCCGGGTGGGGTGACTGGAACGGGTGGGGCAGCAGGTTTCCAGGTGCGGCGGCAGTTTCCAGGTCTGGGGCAGCGGTTTGCATTTCCTGGGGCGGCCGATTTCTGGTGTGGCGGCGGTTTTCTGCTCGTGGGGCGGCAGATTACGGGTGAGGCGACGGCTAACAGGGTGGGCGGCGGGTAAGGCAGCGGGTGGGGTCGCGTCTAACGGGTGGGGCGGCGGTTACGACGGTGGGAAAAGGGTGGCGCGACGGGTCGCTGGTGCGCGCGGCTGCTGCTGTGCGTGCGTGCGACTAACGACGGGGCCGCGGGGCCCGCTAGCGAAGGGGCCTCTGGGCCCACGAACGAAGGGCCGCAGGGCCCACTAACAAAAGGCCGCGAGGCCCGCTAACGAAAGGCCGCGGGGCCCGTTAACTAACAGCCGCGACGGGTGACAGGCGACGGGAAAAAAAGGGAAAACGGTCGCGATCGACGGGGGGAAACGGGCGTCGGGCGACTGGTGACGGGGGGGGGGGGGGGGGTCTACGGGCGACGGGGCCTAAGGTAAGCGCGATACGGGCGGTCTAGGACGGGGCGCGACTAGGTGGGCCCATGATAGTCGGGTGATTTTTCCTAAGGGGGAAAATCTCGCTAGGGTTAACCTAGCTCTATACCATGTCACAATGTAAAATTTACTAAAACAGAAAGTACAAACAAGATATATGCAAAACCTAACCCTAGTGCAAGTACAAAATAACACAAGGGAGAACACCTAGACTAGAACTACACAAACTATAGAATTATAGTTTGACACCAGATGCTCCCTAACTGTAGGCGACTCTTTGCGTCTTTCCGTCTTTTCGCCTTCGTACTCTTCATTGTGTTCCTCGCTTGCTACTGATAGGATTGCACAGTCTTTCTCATTTTACTATTCGTAACATGAGCGCCCTAAAGCGGGTATGTGCGCTGATGACATACAGACTGCCCCCGCCAAATTGCGCGACGCGACCTCTTTTGAGATTTGCTCAATCCCGTCGACCACCCTCGCCTAGCGTTCCCCGCAATTCAAATTTCCTAAATCCGATCGACCTGCAGGTGTTCATACACCCTCGATCACGGTTTGCTCACTCTGCGTTCGGGTTTTATCGGGTTTAGGGTACCCTTATTTCCTAGCTTTAGGGTGAGAACAAATATGACACGATCCGTATGCAGTAATTGCAACCCTTTTGTAGGAGTTGGCATTTTGTGCGGGTTGCAGACAAGATGCACAGTGTCGAGAGGGCGGTGGATCTTTTTCTGCTGATCTCATTTTCTGTGTGGTATGTATTGTCGCTACATCGATACTCTTCGCACCCAAGGGCGAAGACTACCTCCCTGAGGGCGCGGCCAGGCCCTCAGATTGGTATTGGGCTAAGCTGAAAAACAGAGTATCAGAATGTGTTTGCTGTCTAGTCTGTAGTGGGGTACTCTATAGTGAGTACAACCCAATTAGGGTTTCCTATTTGTATCTCAACTGTTGCTAGTCCAATCGCTCTTTTGCCTATCCTCTCTTGCCTAACTAGCTAAACCCTAGCTATGGCTCCTCGTTATGCCTACTATTCTGATATGGTATCAAAGCTGTTACGCTCTTGGCCTGTGGTCCCGCCTACTGCTTCCGCTACTACTGTTCTGCTGGTCGCGCGCCCCGGGCGCGCGACACTTTTTCATCCCGCCGCGCGCTCGTGGCGCGCGGCGGTTTTCTGCCCGCCGTACGCCCCGGGCGCGCGCGGCGGTTTCGTCGCCCGTCGTGGCGCCCTCTCATGTCGCCCGTCGCGGCGCCCTCTCCCGTCGCCCGTCGCGGTGCCCCGGGGGGCCCCCGCGGCGCCCTCTCCCGTCGCCCGTCATGGCGTCACGGGGGCCGCGCGTCCCCCCCATCTCGTCGCTCGTCGAGGCGCCCCGGGGGGCGCGCGTCCCCCCCCTTCACGTCGTCCCGTCGCGGCGCCACGGGGGCCGCGCGTCCCCCCCATCCCGTCGCCCGTCGAGGCGCCCCAGGGGCCGCGCGTCACCCCCCCCCCCCCCCCCCTTCGCGTCGTCCCGTCGCGGCGCCATGGGGGCCGCGCGTCCCCCCCATCCCGTCGCCCGTCGAGGCGCCCCGGGGGCCGCGCGTCCCCCCCATCCCGTCGCCCGTCGTGGCGCCCTGGGGGCCGCGCGCCCCCCCCCCCCCCCCCCCCCCCCCCCCCCCCCTCTTCCCGTTGCCGGTCGCGGCGCCCCGGGGGTTCGCGCGCCGCTCCGCTTCATCTCCCTCCCCGTGCCTCCTCCGTTAGGGTTTGGGGTGGCGGGTGTGGGGGTGGCGGTTGTGAGTTCCTCCCCTTGCTCCTCCTCCTCCTCCGTCTCCCACTGCTGCAGCTGCCGCTGAGGGGGGGTGGGTGTGTGGGAGCCGATGGAGTGGTGCTCGGGGGGTGACGTGGGAGTGGAGCTAGGGGTGCAGCAAGGGGTGTGTGAAAGGGGGGTGGGATAGTTGGGGGAGGTTGAGCGGAGGCAGTCGTCGTGTCGTCAGCAGCGCCAGTAGTCCGGGGCGCTGCTCCGGTAGCCCAGTATGAGCCAGCTGCGCCAGTCGCCCGTGGGTCCGTTGCTCCTGCCGCTCGTCTTAGCCGCGGAGCCAGTTACTCCAGTAGTCCGGGGCGCTGCTCCGGTAGCCGCTGTGCCAGTGCGGCTCCTGTTGCCTGTGTGTCTGCAGCTTCAGCCGTCGCCTCCTATCTCCTCTTCTCTTACAGTCCCGCCTCCTCCTCCTCACTTGCCCTTTGTGAATGCCTCTAGCTTTGCTTGTCCTTGTGAACCTGCTCTATGCCTGCTTGCTGTGCTGATTATACCCCACTTTGACTATGGGGGTGTGTCAGAATGTGTTATTTGTCTAGTCTGCAGTGGGGTACTCTGTAGTGAGTACAACCCAATTAGGGTTTCCTATTTGTATCTCAACTGTTGCTAGTCCAATCGCTCTTTTGCCTATTCTCTCTTGCCTAGCTAGCTAAACCCTAGCTATGGCTCCTCGTTATGCCTACTATTCTGACACAGAGTTGGTACACAACTTTACGCTGAAAGTCAGACGAAAGTATCACTTCAGATGAGAAAAAAATGCATTTACCCTCTTTTTTTCCTATAAAAGGGTTGATTATTCAGCCTTGGCAAAATAGAAAAGGTATGAAAATCAGTTTTTTTTTACCAAATCAGCGTAAAAAGGCTAACTTATGGGGGCCTGGGCACGGTACATCTATACTCTGAAGGTGATTCAAGACCAGATCGTTGTAAAATACCATAGTGCGTTATTCCGAATTGCGGAGATAACTAAAACAACGGGAGCTTCACTACGGGGAAGGCATAGGGTGTTAGGGGTGATCTCTGCGTTCCTTAGTCATTTGCTTGTGTGTTCTCTGCTTGCACATTCACGGGAGAGATTTTGCACGAGTTTCACTAGCAAAGGTTGACAACAATGGTACACAATGCAAAGCAACAATGGACTACATCAGATGCTAGCAAGCATGCAGGTCGACTGCCAGCGCAGCACGGTCGACCGCGTTCCAGCACTGCAAAGTCGACAGCGCTCTAGCAGGGCAAAGTCGCTGTCTGCCAGCGCTGCAAGTCGGCGCCGTGACAACGCTGCAGCAAGGCGGCTGCACAGCGTTGCACCCGCAGGACAGTAGCGCACCTGCTTCGCAGGTGCTCGCAGCTGGTTGGCGTGCCGTGCCTCGTCATGTTCACAGCGCACATGCCAAGCTGACCATGTGCCCACAGCTGCACCTGATCCTCCACGTCGACCTCGGGATACCACACCGAGGTCGGCTTCGCAAGATCCTCCTGGGCGACCCTTGCGCACCTCGCAGTGCCCGTCGCCCGTATAACTGAGTCGACCAGGCAACCAGGTTGACGCCACCAGGTTGGCGTCCTCCCAGGTCGCATCCTAATAGCCAGGCCGACGCCCAGACGCCCAGGTCGGCGTCCAGGCGTCCAACTGGCGTCCAGACTGTTACAAGACTAATTGAACTGGTAACCGGGTTTAGGGCCTAGGCTTAGAAGCCTAGGCCAAGCGGGTGTCGAGAGAATCGTGGCCAAGAGAAAGTGAGAATGTGTGTTGTTCACTATAGCACACAAGGTACATATAGCAAAGTAGCAAAGGTGCACCACCAACAACAAGGAAACATAACTACACTTGAGCTAAAGCTACAGGCAGTTATAAACATATATAAATATATATCGTGACACACCCCCTTAACTGCCTGCAGCACATAGCTAGAGTAAGTCACACCCCCTGAAGGGGTATTGCAGGCGTTTTGAAAGACGGTAGAGAGGTAAGTGAGGAGGAGGAGGCGAGAGAGAGACAGGAGAGGAGAGGAGATAAGAACAAAGGAGGAGGTGAGTGAGGGATGAGGAGAGGAGGTGGGGGGGTGGCCGCGGCATCCTCTCTTACTAACCCCCTTTTACACAGGGGGGGTTGAGTGGGGGATGAGGAGTGGAGGTGGGGGGGTGGCCGCAGCGTCCCCTCTTACTAACCCCCACATCCCCACCCCCAATCAACCAACCCCCTGTAACCTCACCCCCCATTTCAACCGCCCCCTGGAACCGCACTCCCTCCCCCCCTTTCTTCCTCCAGACCCCTCCCCACCCACGATGATCCCTGTCCAGTTCTTCACAGGTGGGGATGCTGGTCACAGGTGGGGCTGCTGGTCACAGGTGGGACTGCTGGTCACAGGTGGGGCTGCTGGTCACAGGTGGGGCTGCTGGTCACAGGTGGGGCTGCTGGTCACAAGTGGGGCTGCTGCTCACAGGTAGGGCTGCTGGTCACGGGTGGGGCTGCTGGTCACAGGTGGGGCTGCTGGTCACAGGTGGGGCTGCTGGTCACAGGTGGGGCTGCTGGTCACAGGTGGGGCTGCTGGTCACAGGTGCCTGGTGCTGGCGGCTGGCGCTGGAGCTGGTGCCTGGTGCTGGCGGCTGGTGCTGGTGCTGGTGCCTGGTGCTGGCGGCTGGCGCTGGTGCTGGTGCCTGGTGCTGGCGGCTGGCGCTGGCGCTGGTGCCTGGTGCTAGCGGCTGGCGCTGGTGCTGGTGCCTGGTGCTGGCGGCTGGCACTGGTGCTGGTGCCTGGTGCTGGCGGCTGGCGCTGGTGCTGGTGCCTGGTGCTGGCGGCTGGCGCTGGTGCTGGTGCCAGGTGCTGGCGGCTGGCGCTGGCGCTGGTGCCTGGTGCTGGCGGCTGGCGCCCGTGCTGGTGCCTGGTGCTGGCGGCTGGCGCTGGTGCTGGTGCCTGGTTCTGGCGGCTGGCGCAGGTGCCTGGTGCTGGCGGCTGGCGCTGGTGCTGGTGCCTGGTGCTGGCGGCTGGCGCTGGTGCCTGGTGCTGGCGGCTGGCGCTGGCGCTGGTGCTGGTGGCTGGCGCTAGTGCTGGTGCCTGGTGCTGGCGGCTGGCGCTGGTGCTGGTGCCTGGTGCTGGCGGCTGGCGCTGGTGCTGTTCCGCCGCCACTCCCTTCCCCCTTTTCCTCTCTCCCCCACATGATTCCGCCGCCACTCCCTTCCCCTTTTCCCTCTCCCCCTCACAACGTTCCGCCGCCAATCCCTTCCCCTCCTCCCTCTCCCACCCACAGCGACCGCCGCTGCACACGCAAACAGTCGCGACGGGGGGGGGGGGGTGACGGGCAGGGGGCCGGGGGAATGCGACGGGCGGAGCGAGGCGACGGGAGGGAAGAAACGGGACGGGAGGGGAAGGGCCGCGACGACCGCCACGGACGCCGTCCCCTTCATTCCCGATGCCCCCCCCCCCCCCCCCCCCCCCCTTTCCCACTCTCGTGCAAACTCGGCAACAGGCGTAGGCACGGGCAGAGGTGGTGACGGGGGGAAAACGAGACGGGCTGATGACGAGGGAAACGCGACGAGCTGGCGACGGGGGAAACGCGACGGGCTGGCGACAGGGGAAAACGCGACGGGCTGGCGACGGGCAGGCGACGAGGGAAAAAAAAAAAAAACGACGGGCTGGCGGCGAGGGAAACGCGGCCGGCTCGCCGCCGCGCCCGTCCCAGAGAGCGCCGTGTTGCGAATGGGTGGGCCCATTAACTTAGGTCAGGATTCTAATAGCTCAATACCATGTTACAAGACTAACTGAACTTGTAACCGGGTTTAGGGCCTAGGCTTAGAAGCCTAGGCCAAGCGGGTGTCGAGAGAATCGTGGCCAAGAGAAAGTGAGAATGTGCGTTGTTCACTATAGCACACAAGGTACATATAGCAAACTAGCAAAGGTGCACCACCAACAACAAGGAGACATAACTACACTAGAGCTAAAGCTACAGGCAGTTATAAACATATATAAATATATATCGCGACACAGACGACCAAGACGCCGTCCCGACGCCCAGGTCGGCGTCTAGGCGCCCAGGACGCCGTCCAGACGCCCAGGTCGGCGTCCAGGTGCCCATGACGCCGTCCAGACGCCCAGGTCGGCGCCCAGGACACTGTCCGGGCGCCCAGGAAGGCGTCGCCCACTTCAACAGGTCGGCCGCGCTCCCCGCATACCCGACAATGAAGGCGGCTCCGCACAAGCGAGGACGAGGCCAACAATGTAACTTCCGTTGACACTCCCCTGCTGCGTTCACGCTTGGGCCTCCAGCCCACACGGCAACACTCCTCGGAGAATAGCCTGTTGGCGTGCACACAACACACAGCACGCAGGTCACCGCACCAGCCATGCAAGAGGGCATGGCACCTACTGCTGCACGTCGTCGTCACCGTCGCCGACGTCGGCCAGGCGCACTTGGCCGATTGCGACGGAGCACCGGTTGAAGGCCGGATAGTGCAGCGCCTTCGTCAAGAAGTCGGCCGGCTGCTCAGTGGTCAGGATATACTTCAGCGTGAACTTCCCGTGCTTCACCATGTGCTGCAGCCAGACTTAATGCCGCTCCATGTGCTTGAGGTTCCCCTGCAACGCCAAGCCCTCGGCGACCGTGATGGCCGACTTGTTGTCCACCCGAAGGACGGTCAGCGTCCCGGCGTCCAGCAGCCGGAACTCTGCAAGGAGGAAGCGAAGTCGGCGCCCCTCCTCGCCGGCCTCGGTGGCTGCCACGTACCCCGACTCGGTCGACGACAGCGTCACGCACTTGATGCGCTGGCTCGACCAGGAGACTACGGCCCCTCCGAAGAAGAACACATAGCCGCCCGTGCTCGTCTGGTTCTGCTTGTTACCGGCGTCGTCGGCGTCCACGTAGCTGACCAGCTTCAGCGACTCTGGTCCGCCGCCGAACTCCAGGGCGATGTCTCGAGTGTTGGCAAGGTAGGCAAGGCAGCGGTCAACCTTGCGCCAGTGCTGGTCGCTCCTCACCGTGAGGCCGCTCCTTAGCTTGTTGCAGGCGAAGGCGATGTCCGACCTCGTCGTCGTCGCCGCGAACTACAGCGAGCCGACCTTATGCCAGTACTCTTCATCCTGGCGCTCCTGTGCCTCCTCGTCGTCGAATGTCAGCTCGGCGTAGGCGTCGACCGAGACCGGCGTCTTTGGAGTGCGCCGGGTCTGCTCCTCGTCGATGAAGCGCATGCGCAGCTTGTCGGCGTAGCCGTGCTGGTGCAGCCACAACTTCCTCGCTGGCCTATCGCGCACGATCTCCAGCCCAAGGTACTTCTCCACCGGTGAGATCTCGCGCAGCTCGAAGGCGGCCTCCAGCTCCTTCACCTCCTTCAGCATCGCGGTGCTGCTGCTGGTGGCGAGCAAGTCATCGACGTAGACCAGCACCCAGCAGGCCACTCCGTCGTCGCCGACCCTGATGTAAAGAGCCTCGTCGAACGGGCTCTTCTTCCATCCAGCGCTGACCAGCACGTTGTTGAGCGCCTTGTACCACAGCAGCGGCGAGTGCTTCAGCCCGTACAGGCTCATCAGCAGCTTGCACACCCTTCCGGTCCCGTCGCTGTAGTATTCCGGCTGGTACATGTATATCACCCGGTCGAGCTTGCTCTGGAGGAAGGCGTTCTTCATGTCGATTTGCATCAGGTGGACGTCGAGGACGGCGGCGATGCTGAGGAAGATCCTCAGCATGACATAGCTGCTCAATGGAGTGTACATCTTGTCGTAGTCGGCGCCATACACATGCGTGAAGCCCTTCACGACTAGCCTTGCCTTCTCCCGGGCGACCGTGTCGTCGATGTGGTACTTGGTCATCAGGACCCACCGGTTCTTCATGATGTTCACCCCGCGTGGGCGTTCGACCAGCTCCCAGGTGCCCATGCCAATGATGCTGCGGATCTCCTCGTCCATGGCAGCCTTCACCGCCTTGCCCTTCCAGCTCGCCAACGCCTCCTTCGTCGTCATCGTCGCGATGTCCGAGTGGTGCTCGGGGTCGGCGTGCATGTCGGGGTCAAGCTCCGGCAGTTCAATGTCCTCCTTGGCGTTGTCGTACAGCAGGTCATCATCAGTGTCGTCATACAGCGTGGTGTAGGCGACCGTAGGCAGATATACGTGGTAGGTCAGGAACCCAGATGGCCTCCGAAGTCGGCGGACTTCTCGGCTTCCGACTGCTCCCCTTCATCGTCGCCAGATTCAGTGCCTTCACCGACCTGCTGCACCAAAGTCGGCGTCCCTGCCGACTTCCCCCCTGTCATCAGCTCCTCTGCCGACCGACCGACTGCCGACGGCTCCTTGGTCGGCGTCCCTGCTGGCTGCTCCCCTGTCAGCGGCTTCTCTGCCGCTACCTTCTTCAGCGACTTCAGCAATGTCGGCTGCTTCCCCTGCACCTGCTGCTCCCCTATCGTCGGCGACGCCGCTTCCACGCTGACTTGCTTGACGTCACGTCGGCCACCAGCGATGCTCTTGGCCGGCGCCACAGGCAACGTCCCACTGCTCCCCTCATCGTTGGAGGGCGACACCGGTGTCAGCTTCTGTAGCTCGGCTACGAGGGGTGTGGTACAATGGGCTGGGGAAGGGAGAGAGGGGAGGACGTCCTCGTCCACATCAGCTGGCTCGCCGACCTCGGCAAGCAGGGGACGTGAAGCCGTCGAGGCGTCCGTCGGCGGGTTGACCTGCGTCCTCCTCGAGGCCGGCCTGTGCTCCGACTTCCACACCTCCAACGACATAGTCTCGTAGAACACCACGTCCAACCTGGTGACCACCCTATTGTCAGTGAGGTCGAGGAGCACCCAGCCCTTGCTCTCCTCCGACACACCGAGGTGAAGGCCCCACCTGGCCTTCGGCTTTAGCTTTCCACCGCGCTGCTGCTCGGGGACCAGGAAATGCGCCATGCAGCCCCACACACGGGCCAGCGCCAAGTCCGGCTTCTTGCCGGTCAGCAGCTGAATTGGCGTCGTCCCCGGTGGCAGCGTCAACCTCTCCAGGCAGTTGCGCACCCAGACGGCCTGCCGCAGGGCGAGGTGCCACCAGTGGTGCTGCACCCCCATGTGCAGCAGCATCGTCCGTACCGACTCCACCACCGTCCGCATCTCCCGCTCCGCCATACCATTCTGCTGCGGTGTGTAGGGGCAGGTCAAGTCGTGGACGATCCCCTTTCCATCCACGAAGGCTGTGAACTCCTTCCCAAGGAACTCCCTTCCCCGGACATGGCGCAGCATAAGCACCGACTTCTTTGTCCGCCGCTCAGCTACCACCAGCCACTTCTCAAACTCCCGCAGCACGTCTGACTTCTTGGCGACCGACCTCACCCACACGTAGCGGGTCTTGCGGTCCTTCAGCAGCAGGAAGTACAGGCAGCCATCCTTGGCAGCCACCCGAAACGGCCGGCACAGGTCGATGTGCACGACAGCATGGGCGTCCTTGCATCGGAGCCCTTATCGGGGAAGGTGTGCCGCGCCAGCTTCCCACCGACGCACGAGACACACAGAGAGTCGGTGCCGGCCGACGGCTTGATGTCCAGGCCAGTGGCGACCTCATGCTTCGCCGAGCTCGTGATGGTGTCAACGCCGACATGCGCAAGCCTCGCGTGCCACCTGGCCGGCGTCGACTTCGTCGCCGTAGCAATGGTCCGCAGAGCCACCGTCTCCGTCGTGGTCGACGTCGACGTTGCCGTGCACGGACGAAGGTCGGTGCAGAGGACCAGGCCGGTATACTTCGCCCGACCAAGCACGTCCCCCGCTGCCGAGACGAGCAGCATCCCGTCACCATCGTCCTGCAGCTTCACACCGCTCTCCTTCAGCTGGCCGGCGGATAGCAGGTTCGCTTGCACGCCCGAGACGTAGAGCATGTCGAGAACGAGAACCTGCTTTCCGGCCTCCCCTTGCAAGGCGACTGTGCCCCGGCCCTGGACGTCCTGCAACGCGCCATTGAAGCCGCACATGTGCTTGACGTCGCCGCTTGGCCCTAGGTCGACGAAGGCCGACTTCGTCCCCATCAAGTGGTGCGAGCAGCCGCTATCGAGCAGGACCACCGCCGGGTTCGCCTGCACGGCTGCCGCCATCGCCTGGAAGTCCTCGCCTGCCTCCGGCGCCAACGAGATGGTCGGCTCCACCACGCCGACCAGCGAGCACGACGCTTCTCCGTCGCCTTGCCCCTAGCCCCCAGAGGACGAGTCGGCGTCCTTCGCCGACGTCGACTTGGTCGACCTCTTCTTGCGCGGCTTGCGTTCCCGACGAGGGCGACGCCCAAGTGACCTCCCTCGGCCTCCCTTGGTATCGTCGTCGTCAGAGTCGCTGCGGTCGGGGCACTCGAAGGAGAGGTGGTCGGGGTCGCCGCACAGCCAGCACTCCCGACGTCGGCCTCCTCCTCCACGACCGCTATCCTTGGCTGACTTCTGCTTGTTGGCGTCCTTGGCCGACCTCCCACTTCCACTACCACCGCCGCGAGGCTTGCCGCGCTGCCCCGGTCGGCCTCCTTGCTTCGCCGGGGCGACGTAGTTTGCATGCGG